CTAAGCTTAGTTTTTCAACTATACAAATGCAAAAGATTGTACTTCGAAACGATTTCCGAAGTTGGAACAAGAAATTCAAAGTTAACTCACAAATTTCAACTCAATCAATGAATCTAATTAAAGTGTAAATTTTCTCAGTTTTCACTGTCATTTCTTTTTTGCTAATTTTATATTCTAAGAACTGCTATTGAGATTCATTTTAAATCACCAATGAGTGAAATGAGAAGAAAAAGTCAATTTTAATTTAATTAAGATCACTAAAACACACTAAAAATCACAGTTAATTAAATTGTTGGGACTAGCATCCTCGCCATTTGTGAGGCACCACGGGATGTTAAGGTTGAGGTGTTCACAAAATGATGGTTAATCAACTAAATTATAACAGAAACTAATATTCAATGAGAATTACTTTTATTAATTCATTCATTGTAAAAGTTCTTGTAATCACAATCTTTGTAAATGCAGTTCACCATAAATGTTTCTAATTCATATTCAGCTTCCGAGTGAATACTTTGATTTAAATACTGTTTTAAAGAGGAAAAGGAAAAGAGAAAAAATGAATGAAAAAAGCTAAGGGAACAACAATTAATTACAAACTGTGAGAGAGAAAGAGACAAAGTTAGAGTAGACCCCTTACATTATGATCATTATTATGAGCAGAAACTTGTTAACTGATTTAAGTCTCGTGGTTGATGAATGGCAAAAAAAACAAATTGTCTTTACCATAATATCGAGTCTAAAAGGACGTTCAATTGACGATGAAAAAAGCATTCAGTCCAATTGAATCGAATGCAGAAAAGTTTGAATGAAGCATAAATTATTCATTGGCCATCAATGAATAAATCCCGGAACTCGACCAAACAGAAGGTCAAATGATTTACATCAAGTTGACCATTGATAGAAAGAAGAAGCCAAAAGAAAACATTTTCTGAAAATGTTTTCTTCTTTTCCCAGTTTAGCGATATTTTTAAAAACTTTATTCAAATTTGAATGAAACTTTTTCATTCAATGAAATGATTCAAAGACAAGGTTGAAACTTGAACAATCTAAATGGATCGTAATTAAGGTGAAAATTGGTTTAAATAAACGGCAGAATATTTGTTCGTTCATTTCTTTTTCTCTTCAACTTTTTCTTCCTTTCTTTTCCTCTTTCCCGTCTTCTTCTTCCTTTGGGCTTGTACATAATCATTATCATCATTATCATCATCATTACTTCCTAATTATCGAGTAAAGCAATTTACATACAACTGTTGGAGACAAAGCTCAATAGTACAGGGAATGAGTTAATTTGAAAAGAGGAGGGAAATTATCATGTTGAATGAGTTGCAATTAGCAATTGATTTTCTTTGACATCAGAACTTTGCTTTTTTTCATCCAATTTTTTAGAATAATTTCTTTCTTCTTCTCTTTTTCCATTCCCTCATCTGAACCTATAACATGAAGTTACTTCATGAATGTGCTTTTTTATATGAATATGTTTATGCATATTTATTGATGTATGAATTGCGAGTTAAATTAAAGGTGAAAAGGAATGAAAAATAAGGTAAAATTTGTCAATGAATTTTGAATTGTGTTAACCCAAAGTTGAACATTTTTTTGTGTCCAACGTTGATTTATTGTGTGTTGGCAAATGAACGTGAGCAAGTTAATTAAGGAAAGTCTATTTTGAATCATTGAGTTTAATTGCTCAAATGGTTTCAATTCAAATTCACTTTGACAAGTTACAAAAGTATTATAAACCCAAAAAGAGCTGAATTTGTTCACAGCAAAGTCGCTTGTCTGACCGTCAGCTAATGTTTTGAATCTCTATCATTCGACTGTTTTTATTCAATATTAGTGCATAAAAGTCCGATACTGGGACAAGTGTTTTGTCTGACTATCACCATCAGCTATTTTTCTAACCATTAACTACAATTCTGAGAAAATTCTAAGCCTTCAGCCTAACCCAGTTCTGAGAAAATCTCAGATTTGTAATTTGTCCATAACTTTTTCCCCACAGGTTAGTCTTTCATAAGCTTTCATCAGCTAATGAATAGATCAGTTCTTCTCAAACGTATTTACTTTTCAAGAAGCGCAAAGATATTTTAGCTCATATCGCTGTTCATTTTTCGATCAGTTTTTCAGGAAAAGTCTTAAAGGTCTTTTCAAAGAAAAGCTTGTTTGTCCGTTATCCAATTGAATATTTAGATTACTTGTTAGGTATAAGATCGATCTCGATCAAGACTTTCGGAAACTCCTGATAAAAAAGAGTTTTAGTTCTTTGGGCTTTCTTCATTTAGATCTCAACTCTTGAATATTTGCAATTGATCAACTGACAGTTAGCTCAATGGTTCATGAATATCAGGTTATTTTGCATTATTACTGGAAGTAAAATTTGGAAACTTTTAAATTAGACTTTTGTAGCAATTAGAGGAAACTCATTTGACCGCAACTTTAACCTCATCAATTGTTGCATCAATTTGCAAGTGATTGGAAAATAATTTAAGGTTCAACACCAAGGAAATATTTATAAAGTCATCATGTTTTAATTATTGATGCATCAGGGAAACACCTATTCAATCAAGGTTACTAAAGAAAAGCTTTTATTTTCTGGTTCAACATTCCAAGTGTTGATTGAAACTGGTGTGATCATATTGAAAGGTACATTGAAACATTTTCCAACAAATTGAATGAAAAAAAACTGAGTGAATCAAGTCAAGTGATAGTGGCTATGATGATGACGATGGAAGATGACACAAAATGATGAGAAGTGTGTTGCGTGTCCCTAAAGCCTCACCTTTAACTACAATCAAATTTCAATTGAGAATAACAAGAAAAGGCAGCAAAAAAATGAAAAAAACTAGTTTCACTATTACAGCCCATTGAGTAAATATGTGGCAATGATTCGTTGCGAGTCAAGGAAAAGGTAAAAAGTGACTATTAATTTGCGTGGTGATCAACACGCTTTAGGCTCACATATTTCCCATCATCATTACCGTCCTCATGTTGGGTAAACCTGTTCAATGATTTATATTCACAAGTAACAGGTAACAGAGCTTTTGATCAGTGATCATGTGTAGGTGTGTCTGGGGTGAAAGTGACAAAACTTGCCTCAGGAAATCCAATGAGAAGAACCAATCAGACTAATTGATCTTAATAGGTGATCATGTTAACCACGTTCAAGCATGATGTTGAACAGCAAATGCAATCACTGTTTAACAAGATTAATGTTTGCACCTTGCAAGTGGTTCAAATGGTTCAACTTTATTCAGAGAAACAAAAAATGATTAATAATTTCATTTCCAATCAATATTAATCGAGAGCAAGAAAAAAAGGTTTGATTGACTTTAATTGGTTCATGTTTACCTTTTTGCATCTTGTATTCAATTTGATCAATTGACTGTCAACAATGAGCGCTTTTAATTATCGATTTTGAAGGTTATTTTAATCGATAGTTTTGAGTAAATGTTTGAGTTAAGACGTTAATCTTAACGCGTTTAAGTGTCAGTTTAATTTGAGGCTTTTTTTCTGGCTTTGCTTTTGTGGTTGCTTGTGTACAGAAAACATTTGATTGACCGATTCTAATTGTGACTGATTTGAAGGTAAATATGATCAATGAGATGTAATTAAAGAGATGTTACCGATTAAGTGAGAGAAACGAGAAGGAAAATGAAAAGTTGAAGATGAATTGATGAGGAAAATCATTGGATAAGATATTAGGTGTTGAGGATGATAACAATGATTAGTTGACCAGACGATATTATGGGCCAACTTTGTTTTAACAATTTTTTTTTCGTTTTCGCCGTTTTCTATGAAAGATAAAAAAAGGACCTTTTCTGGTCACAGTAAAGTATGATTGATGAGGAACCGTTTTTGTGGTTGCCTGTAGTATATTTATATCCATCTCAAGATGCAAGGGTATTCCTTTTACCTGAGGCCATTTATTTGGCTATTTATTTTTTTTGTTGCTTATTTTCTTTCTTTCTTTGCCTCTGTTTTGTCCACAGAAGAAAAAGAAAAATATTTGAAGATGAAGAAGATGGAACGAAATGGATGATGATGATTCAAAGTGGGCAAACTTTCAAGAACATTCAATTACATTCTCATTAGAATTCAATTCACAAGATAATTTGGCAAAAAATTGATGGATTGATCAGTAAACGTGAAACAGGTAGACTTATCATTATTATTGCTTTCTTAAGCAAGCAAAAGAAGCTAAAGTTGAACAAAAAACAAAAAGATATTATTTGCTGTTCTTCACTTTTCCAATAGATGGCTCTCGGGTATTCATTTAATGTTTACTTTTGTTTTATATTTTTTTTGTTGCACAGATGTTCAAGAGTTGAACTGTTGCAATGAATTTTACTCTGAAAATTCATTGCTTTTTGCTATTTGTAAAAGTCGATTGGAAAATTGATTTTAACGGTTCGATTTACATTTTGACTCAAAGAGTTAAAGTTAAATCATTGGGTTAGGTTAGGTTAGGTTAGGATTTGTTTTATTGAAACAAGAAACTGAACCAATTTCATTGGTCATGATTTGATGAAGTTTCATTGGAAGCACATTGTCTGTTTTCATTCAAATTTGCTACATGATCAATTTGATTGTCGATATATTGCCGAGTAATTTGGTGAAAAGCTGCAATGAAAAAGATAATTTTCTTGTTCAGTTAATTGCAAATGAAATGATTACAATTTGATGATAAAAAAAGGAAAAGTAAAAGAAATGAAAAGTTATTAAAAGAGATTTCCTTTTTGTTTACCCAATTTTTACCAAGCTTTTTGAATTACGCTTCTTCATCGGTGAGTGACTCTCTCTCACTTACTCTATCTTCCCTTGATGATCATCTTCTTGATCAGCATTATCATCATTTATTCTTGTTCTGAGCATTTCTATGGAATAATATTCATTGAGAATTTGTTGGAAGCAAGGAAAACAAGGTGGAGTTTCAATGAATAGTGACTGTCTTGTTGAGCGTCTAAGGCTGAGCCAAGCAGCTCCGCCTTGATGCACTGAGTAGGTTGAGGTTGGGTTGAGCTTGGATTGGTGATGAAGCCCAATGAAAAGAGCTGTTAGAGGAAAGAGGAAGGAGTAAGAGAGAGTCGATGAGAGAGAGAGAAAAGGTGAAATTTAGTGTTGGATGAAAATGGTTAGTTGATAATGTTGACTGAAAATGATCAACAGAAGGTAAAACAAGAATGAATAGTTCATCTGATTCTGTGAGATTATCATGAAAAGAAACAGCATCATTGCCATCAGCAGCATCACCATCATCATCAACAGCAACATCAACGATACCAGAATCTCTATCATCAGAATCATTGAATAATCGTTTTCGTGCTTTTCGCTTATTTATATCGAGATTCTATGAATTAAAAGTTATGAATGAAATGAATTCATCATTTTCTCTCTCCTTTCATTTCCCTCGTTTTTCTCACTCTTCCATATTCCCATAGTTTCAACCTGAAAATACACTCAAATAATCAATATCAACATTCAACGACAAATAAATTACCCATAAAGCACACACACACAACGTTCTGGCATCCAACGTCCTTGACTACATCAACTCTTTTCGTTCAAAGTTTTTTTTCTTTCCTTAAATTTCTTTTCCAGTGAAGTTTTGTGAATTTTGCCATCAATTGGAAATTCCATGTGATTAATTTTTCGGTGAAATCGTTTTGTTTTTTCTTCATCTTCTCAGTCTTCTTCAACTTTACTCTTTAATGTAAACCCATTTCTTGACCATCATCACACTCATCACTCACCAAATCAAGACCAAAGATGAATCATTTAGGAACCATGTATGCCACTAAAAGGCGAAGACGGAATAGTAAAAGGTAAATGTTGAAATATGTTTATTCACTTTCATCTCATTGTCCACTTTCGGTCATCTTATAGTGTTCGTGTTCAACCCAAAGAAGGTCAAACAAAGTCAAATCCCTCTAAGCGTCATCGTGAGCGACTCAACGCTGAGCTTGACATGTTAGCAAGTCTATTACCTTATGAACAAAGTGTTCTTAGTAAATTGGATAAGCTTTCAATTCTGCGTCTAAGTGTTTCCTATTTGAGGACAAAAAGTTATTTTCAAGGTAAGTTCAGTGATTCAAGTCGAACCCGGAATTTTTCCAATTTCATCCATTTCTCGGATTGTTTCGCCCATTGAAACCTTTTCTTTCTTGTTGCAGCAATTTTTAACAAAGAACGTGAAAGACAAGGCAATCTTCATGAAATTCATCGAAACACGCCTCGAGAACTTCTTTATCCTGATATTATGATGGAAGGTGATCTCATTCTCCAGGTAATTATTTTCCAATTTGACTGGCTTGTTCATTGAGTGAAGAAGAAATAGTTTGGAAAAAGTTCAATCCTCAAGTTTGCACATTTTTGTCACATTCAATTGATAACAAAACTCCATTTAAGATGATAATTTATTGCCGGTTCAAGTTGAAGTTGCCATACAAAATGTCATCTTTTTGGGTTTTGTTTAGTCTCTTTATATTACTTTTACCTGTGCTCATGTAGATGTGTGTGTGTGTCTGTCTGTTAATTAATTAACAAAGCAATTAGGAGACAATATCTTGACAGAATATCTTTCAAGACCTGCAAGGAAGTTGAAGGTAAAACAGACGTAAGACTTTAAATTAATGTGAGCAACTTGCAAGAAAACAAAATGAAAACTTTTGTCAAGATAACAGAACAAAAAAATGACAAGAAAAAAGTTGCTTGAAATGCTAATAGTTTGGCGTAATTTTGTAGCCCACAAAGTCACTCTAACAAGCCAATTTAGCTCTTTATTTCAATTGTACAATGTTAGATAAGGTTCAACAAAAGAAGCGACTGAAAACAATTAATCTCAATAACAAGAGTTATTCAGTTGAAAATGAAATGATTCAAAGTACAAACATTGATGTCCTTTAAGCTCAAGGGTTTGATGTGCATCATTGGCTTATTTTGCATCATACTTGTAACATAAAGACTGGTTCAGACTCATGATGAACATTTCATAACTCGAGTTGATTTTACTGAGTTGATATAAACAAAGCTTGTTAATTTTACCTGAAAAAATAAATCGATTTAGAGAATAAAAAATTCTAAAAATTGACGAGACTCGAACTCTAAACCTTCATAGTTACACCTTCATTCACTGAGTTACCCTTCAACTCACAATTTTCAAGATTTTATGTTATAATGAAAATGCTCGAGTTTCAAACCCAAATATCTCAGGAACCACTCACCATCAGATGAAATTATAGTTTCCATAACTCACCATGCTCTATCAAATGATCTCAGAATATCATGAATCTCAGTCAGTCTCGGATAACTCCTGAGATCCCTTGAAGTTTCTTACCTTAACTTGTTCTTTCCGTTTTATCAATGAAAAAGTACCGAAAATATTCAACTTGTTCTACCATTTCGATGCTGATTTTTCACATTTTTAAGATCAAACCAATGTCTTTAGAAATTGGAAAATGGGCATTTTTGTGAATCGCATGTCGAGCTAGTTACTGTTATCGAACTATTACTAGAACAAGTATCGAAACAAAACTTGACACAAACTTGAGATACTTAGTGTTTCCGTCGATGAGAAACTGCAAGAACAAGGAAAGGTAAAAACTCAGTTAAGTCGCTAATAATAAACATTTCAATTTTTTCAATAAAAAAGTGACATTTATTGATGAAGTTAGAATTTTTTGTTCAGCTTTTTCCTGCAATTTCAATTGGGCTCATTTTAATGGTCAAATGCTATTGGTTTTTGTCAACGCCAATCCTTTTCAATTGCAGGTAAAGAAAAGTAAAATTGATCAACTTAAATTGAAGATAATTTTGGATGAATACAAAAAACGATGAAAAAAAGGAAAACATAATTTGACCGTAAAAGTGACTGATATAGCTAAATAAATTTAATTTACCTGAAAGAAGATGAAATTGGGAAGAAAATTACCGAGGAAAGTGATTTTTCTCTTTTCTTTTTTTCTCCTCTCTTCTTACCTTTTCCAGTTCATCCTCGGGCTAAATCATCTTGTTGATTACATTGAATGTGACACAGTGTATCTTGTCAATGAAATAAAAAAATGTTAACAAGATGATGGTGATGATGATGATGATAGAAAGAAAGAAAAGTTTTCTTCTCTTCACTTTTGTTAACCATTATTGGTTAACCTTTTTCAATAATCTTTTAACCGTGAGAAGGTCAATTCCTGTTGTTGTTGATGTTGTTGTATTATCAATGAACAAGGTAACAAACATGATTGAATGATGATGAAGATAATGATGTTAATGTGAATCATTTTTTTATCCATTTTTGTCTTCTTTTTTGCTCATCTTTTCCATTCTCATCTTTCTCTGTCAGGCACTCAATGGATTTTTACTCATCTTAACCTGTGATGGAGAAGTTTTTTACACTTCTCATACTGTTGAAACGTACCTAGGATTTCATCAGGTAAGACAGTTTTTCATTGCAATCAACTTTTCTTCTTCTTCTTCTTCCTCCTTTTTATCAATTAACTTGCTGCTTCTGTAAGGATAACTTTTCAAGTCGTTGTAACTTTTTAATCAATTTAACAAACTCATAAAAAAAGTTTATCTTGATCAGATCAAATCTTTTAATAGTAATTGAGTGAAAAAATCATTAATTGTTATTAATTGTGAAAAAAGTGCAAAAATGCTTGCTAATTACACCAAATGGTATGTTTTTAGTTTCTAATGTCTCCTCATTACTTTAATGTTGACTCAAAAGTTTATCTTGGTAATAACAATTATCAAGTAAACCTGACTTGTTACTTACTTGACATCTTATTTTTGAATTCAACTCTTTCTCATCGATTTGATAAACTTTTTAGTCGAATGTTGAAGTTGAAATCATTTTGAAACATTTTGTAATATTGTCTAATAAGGTTTAGCCTAGTAGGTAAAGGAGTAGGTGAAAGTATGGAGATTTTGGGTTCTGTGGTTAAGATGTCTGGCTTTCAGAGCTCACTCCGTTTATAACCGGTGTAGACTGGGTTAGGGCAAGTGTTGTATGATACTGAGGACAGGCTTAGAGGTGTTCAGTCATACTGAAATCTCATGTGGTAATGTGATATGGTTAGGGTGATATGGCCATCTCTCAGAGCTCACGACTAACTATCACAGTCACTTGATGAATGTTGACTCCGTTTATGGATGATATCTGAACCCACTCTAGATTCAATCCTCGATGACTATTTCGTGAATTAATTTGAATGATTTAGAAGTTTTTGATCAAAATTTTTTAATAAATTTTCGCATTTCTCGATAAATTTACCTATGAAATCGATTTTTTCGATTTTTACAAACACAACCATTTGTGAAAAAGTGCCAAAACACTTTTCCTTGACATTTGCAACACAAAAGTATCAACAAATCTTCAATATTGTCTTCTGATTTGAAAGCACATGTTTTTTAAAAAGATCAATCAATTTATGAATGAGAAAATCTATTAGATCGATTTGAAAATCGGATCCGAAAATCGATAAAAATTTCAAGTTCATTTGATTTGTTAATTACCCAATCAAACGACCGAATCAAAGAATGTGGAGATTCAATGTTAACTGAAATTTTGATTATCTTGAAATAATTAAATGACGGCAATGAAAATTTCAAAGATCAGTATTTATTTGAATTTCAAGCTTTAGACTGATATAAACATTTTGCAATTCCTGATAATTTGTAATCAACATTTGAATTTGACTGTTAAAATTTGTCAAAATGTAATTCAATTGAATCAAAATTTAAGTATGTTAATCAATGTTTTCAATCATGAAGATAGCTTTGAAGTCAAACTTTAAAATCTTCATCAGATTCTTATTCAAGTTATGAAGGATAGATCAATTATTTGAAATTGAAACGCTAAAATAGAAAAATTTTTGTCGGCTTTTTGTATTTATAATACAAAAATTACACTTTTACCGGTGAAAAGTTCCAGTTTCACATTTTATCAGTTTGCTTCAAAATAGTTATTCTTGTTGAATCATTTCATTGAGCGTCATTCAATGAATACAAATTTGTTAAACGGTTTTTCCAGGCTAAGTAAATTAATATCAGAGAAAAAATATTCAACTAGAAGAGGAAGTTGCAAGTTAATGATGATGATGATCAGGATAGTTGTTTGTCAACTAATTAAAACTCAAATCACATTGAATAGAGAAAAGGTAAAGTGGTAAAGAATTTGTTGTTGTTGAAGAAAAAAAAATGAAGTCAATTTTTCGTCTTTTGTTGACTAATGAATCCATAAACTGTGGGTTTAAATTGTTGAACACAAGTTGAACATTGAAAAGGTTCAATTTGCTGACCATTTATCTAGATAATCAATGAGACCGTGAGAAAAGGAGAAAAGGTTTCATTTTAATGAGAGGTGACCAACGTAACTGCCCCTTAAACAACTCACCCACAGCCTGCCAGTGTCTCTCTCATTTCAAGTCTTACCTGTCAAACATCGTCAACATCATAAATCAAGTTGACTCAGGTTAGCTAATCACGTGACAACAAACTTACCTTTTGTCTTCTTTACAAATGCTAACAAGAGTAACCAAGAGAAAGGATAACTTTCATTTTCTTGTCTTTACCTTGTTAGACAACTCGGACAATGGCAACTTTATGGTTTGCTTTACCTTTCATTTTGACCCAACTTTTCTGCCCGTTTCGCCTTCCATTCATCTACTCGTGTTTTTTGTTGTTGTTGTTTTTTTTGAGTTAATCAACTTGGCGTTGTTGGCCTTTACTAATAACATGTTTGACTTGCCATTGGCCACGCGCCTAATCAAATCAAATTATTTTCACATCGATCCATATTGATGACGTTTGATGAATGAATTGAAAAGTATTACAAAGTAAAAAAGTTGATGTTTACTAGTCAACCTTTCAAAAGGTAAATTAGCTTTGCCCATCAAGTATTGATTGACTTTTGCTAACAAGTCTAACAATACAATGAAAGGTTATTATGTTTTCACCTTTCATTGGCTTTTCATTCATTTTTCATCCCTCACCTTTGATTGGCATTAGTAGATCAGTAAAGTTTACCTTTACTGATGGCAACTTTGATATTCATCTTTTCCTCATTCTATGGATGGAAACTTTTGCGCAGTCGATATTTTACTTTCTTTCACTTTTCCAATTTGAGATTATTTTACTCAAGATTATGAGCTCGGCTTTTTGAACCTTTTTCAGTCGAAGCTAATGTTTGACTTTCAAATCGCAAAATATTTTGATCGCAATTTTCACTCTACATTTACCATTAGCGTCATTTTAGTTAATCGACATCTACCTTGTCATCGATCATCAAGTGACTTTCACGGCCCGTTTTTGAATGAAGAGTATTTTATCGAAAAATCGGTCCAAGATCATGATTAAGAATTTAAAGGTTGAGAAAAGTTCAGAACCAATTATTTTCTATAACTTTGCTCATTGACAGCTACTCGAATGTTCAATTTGATTATTGCTTATGCTCTTGAGCTTGCGTATTTCATTTCAAGTGTTTTGAAAATGAAGCGATCATTGATATTGGAACATCAAATTTCAAATCGATAGATGAATTTGAGTTTTTGATTAATCAATCAATAGCGTCAAAAGTATGCCGTCAATGTAGAGATTTTGAAAACCTTATCGATCGATTCAATTTTGCTTCAAAGGCATCTTTAAACAAACTTTTGATGTCCAATATAAACTGATCGCTATGTCTTGTCGACCTAAGCGTTGGACTTTTTAAGTCGAGTGAAGTTGAATAGACTTGAATAAAAGTTGGAAAATGTTTTGTCAAAGTTGAGCGGATTCATCGCCATTCACTGATCCTTTTGGGTTCATCAACAAAATATTGATCCTAATTAGAGCAATTGAAAGGCTGAAAATAATCTCAATTGAAATTTCTTGAAATGAAACAATTTTCCCATTTGTTTGAAAGCAAACCAAAGTTACTATTCATTGAAGCGTTCAACTAATTAATGTGATTGAAGCGTAAAATTCAATTTTCATTTTTTTCCCTCTTTACTCGTAACTATTGTTGTTCAATTAAACTAGCAAGATGAAAAGTGCGGAACCTCAACAAGCAAAAGGTAAATTTAAATAATATTCATTTTGTTCAAATAATAACGATTATTATTTGGCCAAAAAAAACACATTCATTTGATTGATTCATATTCATATATTGAAAGATAATAAAAGATGAAACTTCATCTCAGAATTGATTCACTGAGGGTTTGCCATTGATTAAAAGCAAATAGACCATAATTAGGGAAGGTTATTGATTGGATTGCAATTGAATCTGGAAACGCATTTCTTTACCAACATTTTTTGTTCTTGTTGGCACTGAAGAAATGATTGAATCTCTGAATGAAATTTCAATTGACAAAATGCTAAAAAATCAACTTGCTTTTTGTATTCACATGATTAAGATTTGATTGAAATTTCAATTAACTTTAAACAATTTTGCTCTTCTTTTCACTTTCAATCAAGTTTATCATTTTTCTTCACCACCTTTTTTATGCTCAATCCTAATTATCATCATTTAAATGATGATATTGATGATGATGATGATGAGTTGCACAAAAAAAGAGGAAACCTTAACTTGACCAGAAGTTTCAATTAGATTGAAGATAATGTGAACTGAAACAAGCCTTCAGGGAAGCCTCAGCTTTTTTTTGTTGTGTTTTTATTATTAAAATTAAGATATTCATTGGGAAAATGTGAAAAGTAAGGTTGGGCTGAGAGGCTTGATAAATTAGACAAGCTACTTCATTGTATAGCCTGGAGCATTTAACCATAAATACAATCAAATTCAAAACCAATGTTTTTTTACCTGTTTTACTTTTCATTGCATCTTGACATTCACTTCATTGTACTCTAACTTGAATGTGATAATAAAAAGTTCATCAATGCTTCCATGTTAAACTTGAGGAAAGCTTTTTTCTCTCGGTTTTTCTTCGCTTTTTTTTATTATCATTAGCATAAACCATCAGCTTTAACCATCAAAGTTATCATCGGTTGTGATTAATGTAATTACCTTTTAGGTTAAATCATTTGACTTGACATTGTTATAGGAAATGCATCAATTTTCAATCAAAGTCTAGTTGGAAATTGGAAAAGACATGCTTTGGATTGAAAGTTAATCAGAGTCATTGGTAGAGTTGTTCGGTATCGATGATTCAGAACCTCGATTCTGAAGTTCAGCACCGAAAGATAATTGTAAAGTGAAGTGAATAGATGGAAGATTTTGGGAAAAAACTCTGAAAACAAGATTCAATCTGAAATTAATTGATGAGACAGAACCTGAATTTATTTCGAGGTAACCAATCATCTGAGTGCACTTTGCATTTTAAATTTGCCCAAATCTTCAATTGGCGTTAATTTTGGCTAATTTTGGATTTCTGTCTTTTTTATTAGCGCGATAATTTCAATCGCGATTGTTTTGTTTATCGATACTTTTTCATG